TGTGTTTTAAAAAAGTGCTTAATTTTTGCTTTTTCAAAATGAGATTTTTCCTTTACCGTGTTGATTTTCGCTTCGAAAAGACACAGTTAACATTGTTCTATTCAACGTTTTCCCAATTAATTCAACCCCAAACCTATTTCGGCCTATTGTCAGTCCGTAGCGTATGAAAACGCCGTTCGTTTTACATGATTAAAAATTTAATGATTTTTGACAATTGTCAAAAACAATCCCAAAAGTTTTTTTTGTTTTTGTTTTTTGAGATGATGGTTAAAACAAGATAAAAACCGTCAATTGTCAAAAACTTTCCATCCCTGGCTAATTATGAAATTTTTTTAAGTGCTTAAAATTTTTTTTGAGTGCTTGAAAAATGCTTAAAAGGTGCTTATTTTTAATTTGGCTACGCACCCTGTATTATATTGATTCGATATTTTAATATCTGCTGGGGATAGATTAGGAGAAACATCAGTGCTCGGAGTACCTTTTTAATGCATACCCAGCACTTAACTTTAAAAAACATCAGTGTTCGGTATACAGGTCAAATGTATATCTGACAGCTGTACTGAACCTTAAAAAAACATTGATGTAAGGCATACCGGGCAAAATATACCGGGCAATGGAACTTAACTAGACCTATTATATATTTCGTACATTTACTAAAGCGACTATGTGATTGTCAACATTGACCAGTGGAAGTCAACAATCACCCATTTCGATCATTTACAGGAACACATACACCAAACACAAATTCTAAACTAGACTAAATGCCGCTCTTCGCCTGTGAATTTAACTGTCTGATATCAAAACTAATTTTAAGACTAGCATTCATAAAAAGATGAAAAACTTTCGTTTTTCTCATATTCAAAATAATTAGTAGTCTTTTTTTTTTCTTCTTCTTCTTTTTTTGGTTTATATGTTCAGAATTGCTATTATGTCTGGGATTCCGCCAATTGAAAGTCAAGCATTTAAGGTTCCGAAAGATATTGGGAACCCTGCTGATTTAGAATTATTACATGTATAGTAAGATCAGTTTGGCTTTCAAAATTAATTGTGTGGTTTTTCAAGCTTTGAAGAAAGTTAATAAATCTTAACTTATTCGAAATAGATATTANATCTGCTGGGGAGAGATAAAGAAAAACATCAGTGTTCGGAGTACCTTTTAAATGCATACCGAGCACTTAACTTTAAAAAAACATCAGTGTTGGGTATACAGGTCAAATGTATACCTGGCAGCTGTACTGAACCTTAAAAAAACATTGATGTAGGGCATACCGGGCAGTGGCACTTCACTAGACCTAGTATATATTTCGTACATTTACTGAAGTGACTATGTGATTGTCAACATTGACCAGTGGAAGTCAACAATCGCCCATTTCAGGCATTCACAGTAACACATACACCAAACACAAATTCTAAACTAGACTAAATGCCGCTTCTCGCCTGTGAATTAAACTGTCTGATATCAAAACTAATTTTAAGACTAGCATTCATAAAAAGATGAAAAACTTTCGTTTTTCTCATATTCAAAATAATTAGTAGTCTTTTTTTTTTCTTCTTCTTCTTTTTTTGGTTTATATGTTCAGAATTGCTATTATGTCTGGGATTCCGCCAATTGAAAGTCAAGCATTTAAGCAGGTTCCGAAAGATATTGGGAACCCTGCTGCTGATTTAGAATTATTACATGTATAGTAAGATAAGTTTGGCTTTCAAAATTAATTGTGTGGTTTTTCAAGCTTTGAAGAAAGTTAATAAATCTTAACTTATTAGAAATAGATATTATATAAATTTTGTGAGTATAAAACTTCAAATGATATATTTATTAACATCCGATTAATTGTTAATAAATATATTACTAAAATGTAATTGTATTTTTTATTAGTTATCCATATAAGTTTTAAACATTACTTTATCCATATATATACCATAATCTATACCAGGTTTTTTCCAAGATAAAAAAAAAGGTGCTTCCTCACAGAAAAGGGCACTTAGAGCTTTGGAAGGGTAACACCGCAAAAATTTATCAAAATGTATAGTAGTATAATATAATTAACGGAATTTTATGCTCAACTATTTTGAAATTACCCTCTTGTAATATTTTATGTGTATATTTCATAAAGTAATTCTCACTCATCATCAAAATAGGATAAAAATTTGTAGTTTATAAAAATTAATTGAAGCCAAGCTATAAAACATTCTCTGTGAATTTTTTTTTTTTAAAATAAGTAAAATTTAAAAAAAAAAAAAGAAAATGATTAATTGATGAGCAACTTGAAAGCTTTTTTCTTTAATTTAAACTGAAAATTATAGGGAAATGAATATTTAAAAGTGCATTTTTTAAAAAAAATAATTTTAAAATTTAAAATCACTTAAATTTATTAATATACCTCCCCCCCCCCCCCAAAGAAATTTTTTTTAACCAGTTTAAAATAATCCTAACAAAGTAGATATTTGTTATAGTAATCAGAACTAAACCTATAAACACAGATAATTTTTCCAATTATTATTTAAATGTGTAATTATTAATTATGCATTGAATAAATTTTTTTAAAATATGGAATATGAACAAATGGACAGTGTTAAGCGATGGTGGCTTATTTTTAGAAAAAAGGCAAAGAGTGGTATCATTTATAGGGATGAAGGGGCTGGCAGGGCGAGCCGCCCTTCTAAATACGCTTAAGGAGAATACTGTCTATACTTAACGCATGTTTTGTTTTCCTGTTTTGAGATATCATCTTCATCGTTGCAAGACATCAATTTCTACCCCACCCCAATTTCCAAGTATCCACAAAGTTACCGACTTGGCTTGCTTGTTTATATTTTATTCAGTGCCATATAATATTGATAGCAGGAATATGAAGAACATATACTCTCTTCCGATTTTTTTCTGGGGAAAACAATAATGCACGTTTGATTTACTCTAGTATTACGAATAATACTTACAGCAGGCTCGGAATGTAGAGGGGGTTTAGTTTTAAATTGATGATAGGTTCTTGCATCATTTCTTAAATATCTAGTTTTTTTGTCTTAATACACATCGACTGTGATTCAATCCTCTTGGGCATCTTTTACCTCGTCTCAAAACTTATCAAGAAAAATAAGTAAACGTTTACCTTTCTTCTAGAAAAGCAGCTCTAAATTTCAGATTCAATCAAATTTCGCATGACTTATATTTCTAACCCACAATATTCAATCAGAAAAAAAATTTATTTTAGTTTATTATTGAAATCAAGGAAAAATGTAAGAAAATACATCATTTCCTAAACATTATTGCTTAAAAGTCCCCCCCCCCTTCAGGTGGTAAATGAATCGGAGATAAAATCTCAAAAAACATTTAATTTTATGATTAAACTGAAATGCATTCTTTAAAATCGCTTAGCAGGATTTTATTATGGATTAGCAAGATAATAGCAGGATTTTATATATTTTATTTATTTTATCTGGATTTTATTATTTTAATTCCACCTTTTTATTATTTTAATTCCACTATTCTTTAAAATCGTTTAGCAGCTTCAAATGATCTGAATTTTATTATTTTAATTCCACTGTTCTTTAAAATTGTTTAGCAGCTTCAAGTGATCTGGATATTATTATTTTAATTCCACTTTTTATATGAGTAATTGCACTAATGCAATTTTCTCCTTGTTTATCTGAAAACGTATCTCGCGAACCCTTGACACTAAATTAAATATTTTCTCTCTATTCATACCTTTTATTCTTTTCTCCAGATATATTTTGTAATATTGTTAGAATTCGTTATACTGAGTACGTATTAATGTTCGATTCTATTCGTAGTACGATTAAAATCCGGGGTCGACTTACAGATCTCGGGGCACAAAGCCACTTGGCTCTTAGCTCAGTTAGCATGCGTGGTTTTTAATCACAATATAATGAAAAGATGGTTTTTTCGGCAACATCGAATTGTGAACAGCCTGATGAATGATGATAGAAATTCAAAATTTAATATAGCTAAACTACGAAAAAACAAATACTAAAAATTAATTGACAGAGTAAGAATAATTAAATTTTTGTAGAAATCAAGATATTCGTACTAAATTCAAAACATCTATAGCATTCTAAAAAATTAGTTATCAAATTTAGTTGAGGTAATAATAATTTTATAAAATTAAAACAACTCTATAAAAGGTCCCATTTTAAAGCATTTTCATGAAAGTTGACATTATAATATGAAAAAGTAAAAGAAACATTTGTGAGTCCCCATGATTTAAAGGCCAGACTAATCGTGAAAAATATATTTTTTTTTTTTACGTAATTTAGGGTGGGTCTCCTCACAAATTAGAGACTTTTGTCCGTAAATCAGTAAGTCCCTTCCGTAAATCAGTAAATTGTCAACACACGACTTCAAGATCTGTTCTAATTCAATTTCTAAAAATTGAAGGGTGGATGCTGCAATTAGTAAATTTAAGTAAATGTCTGAGCCGGCGTCACTTTGATTCTCCGTCTTCTGAAAGTTTATCAATGATCAATTCATTATTCGTAGCATCCAATTGGAATACGTTTCTTTGCAAAGTAAAATAGTGTTAACACCTTGTTGCCATTAACAACCACAATATTACGGCAGTTGATTAAATGATAATGCTAGTCAAGTGATAAAGCTCGGCCTCTAGAGAGAATATTTCTATAGCTTTTAAATGCATAAGTTTCTCTGTGTATGGAAATGAAAACAATGACTTCGTACACAAGCTCTCGATTGTTGAAATCTATTAATTCCTAACTCTGATTTTAACTGTCTTAGCTTTCCTTCTCTTGGCGGTTTAATATTCCGCTAAAAGAGAAGCTTTCGAAAGTTATCGCCAATTGTTTGTTTCCAAATGCACTTGGAACCTTTTACCACCCAAAAAACATGCAAAACTTGTTACTTCATACACTAAGATCTTCAAAACTTACTTGAGTTGGCACAATAAATCAATGTTGTACAGTTTTTTGTGAAAAATCTCAAATCTTGGTTAAATTGTCTAAACATTTTTCTTCACCCTCTTTTTTAGGAATCTGGCACCTGAATGAAAACGTCACGTTGCATAATGGCATTCTCGCACAACAACATCAAAATTCCACTCTTTTAAACGGGAAGAAGAATTCATAAAAAAAGCATCAGAAAATACATCGCTTCTCTCATTGGTTATATCAACAATGACGTAATGAAAGAGAAGGCACCAGTCATTTATCTACTTATACCTTTATAACTCATTATTTTTATAACTTGGGGACAAAAACTCTTTTCTACAGTTCCTGTTACTGAAACCCATCGGACATTTATTTTTAGTCTCACACTACAGTATTACTCTCATAAAAATGATATCCAGACGTCGAAGTCAGGTGATTAAAGCACTTCTGATATTGTCTGCCACGTGGATCGCGGTGACTTACATTTTAGCTGTCAATTCCAATAATAACTCGTCGGACTTGCTGGACAAGTCATCAGAACAGAAGCACAAAGCAGAGAGATCCCTGCAAGAACAGCCAATCCATATAAGTGGGCACGGGGACCATTCTGAAAAGAAGGAAGCTGAGTACCATGGTGGAGACCAGGACAATAACGGTGTACTCCTGCCTCCCCGTGAATTGGATGGACCCGGTGAATTGGGTAAACCAGTCAAACTGTCCAACTTAACGGAAGAGCAAGAGAAGTTGGTTAAGTTAGGTTGGAAAAATAATGCTTTCAACCAGTATGTGAGTGATATGATATCGATTCACCGGACATTGCCGGATCCCAGGGACAAAGAGTAAGTATGGGTTTAATTTCGTTGGCTAAAATATCTTGAATATTTCATTAAAAAAGTCTGGAACGATATTTCCATTGTTTCTTAATTCTGATTTATTCTTCATTTTGAATATTGAAGCATAATATAAATTAATGCATTGTAAACAAAAAGTTATTTTTACTATTGAACTCATAGATTTACAACTCTATAATAAAGATTGCTCCAAAGTGTCTTACATAGATCAACAGGCACCAAATGTGTATTCTTTCGCTCCTGATTAAACGATCTTTAGAATATCCTGCTTTAAGTATCATCTATTGCTACTTAGTTGCTCAAAAGTGTACAAAAAGGCACAAAATGTGGATTCTTTCGCTCCTGATTAAACTATCTCCAGAATATTCTGCTCCAAGTTATCATCGTTAAATTATTTACGCTGTTTTACAAATAAAGTTTTCTCTATGTAGTGTGAGGCTATAGTTCCAAAAAGACTAATTTGTTACTTCTTAATTGCTGCGGAACCAATGAAAATTACTTTTTTTTGGACACCCAATCGCCAAATAGGTTTTTAACGGTAATCAGTACAAATTTCTACTAAAAAGTTTCCTAAACTTACTAATAAACATTGAAGGCAAGTCATGTTTAATCGTGATCAAAAACAAGTCGTGATTATTACAAGTCTTTCTCCTGGTTAAACAATCTTTGGAATATTCTGCTCTAAGTATTATCATTAAATTATTTAAGCTATTTTTCAAATAAAATTATTTTTATATACTTATAGCTCCAAAGAGACAAATTTGTTGCTACTCAATTGCTGTGGAGCCAATAAAAATTGCAACTAGCCTATTTAAAAAATTTCCCAATAGAAAGTTTTTACTCCAATTGAATTTCTAATATTTTATAGATATCTTCATTACCCTTAAAAATAGCAGAGAAATGAAATGAGTGAAAATTATATATCTCAGTGTCAATAAAAAAATCATTGAAATGGTGCGTTTGACCGAAAATGGGTTAATGCAGCCATGTTATGTTCTAACTATTCCATTTAGCCTTATCTATTTAACTATGTCTTGTTAATCAAATGCAAGTCTCGGTTTATTTTATATTGTGGAGGTGAATGACTCATAAGATATCCCTTTCAACATGCAACTTTGAACAATTTTAAAGGATAAATCTTGTTACTTGATTATTACACCTCGTATATCAGTACACAACTTTTCTACAAGCTCTAAGGTTTTTGCTTGAACTATAAGTATTATGCATTGTAATCAGCCTTGCGTGACGAAATGTTTAACTTGCCTGCTAAGACTGCATCGATACTATAAATAACCATTTTTTTAAAATCATCGATTTCAATATTTAAGCAAATTTGATTGGTTTCGAGAAACTTAGGCATCTGTGCTGTTGCAAACAATCTGATCTAGAATTTCAATGCATTATCAAATTAGTTCGATTTTAGTATCTTAAATTCACGCAACGTACAAGGAAGATACTGCGGTGTTCAGAGAAATAATTATTAATCGAATTAAGCACTGCCTAGAAAAATTTTATCAAATAGATCTTTTCTCGGGAAGTAAAGAGGAAACATTTTCCCTTAACAGAGATGTTAGAGCGTTTTTTCGTTTGTGAAATTCCACCTAATGTTGTTGTTCTTATCTACAATTTTAATGTTTTAGTAAATAGTATCGATTTTAGAATTCAACACACTGGTTAGGGAAATGTCTGCAAATTTGATTGGTAAAGTTTAAGGGAACAAAGTTGTCTTTAAATTCCTTGATTTCCTTTTTAGAAAAAAGTGTACTTAAATGTCCTGAAATTTTTGGGATTTTTCCAAATTTTTGTTGAAGTTAACAGAAAAAAAAATTATCTAAAAAACAATTGAAGAAATTTCAAATTGAAAAATGATGCTACATACGTGGAAGCAAAGTAAATAACAGTATAAGCCACAAAGTCTTCAAAGAGCGTCATGTACGATATTAATTTACTTCCAGTGTTAGAGTCCCTTGATTGGATAGCATTTAAAGCATTCGATGTGGGAGTAATATATAAAATGTTCTTATCTCCCTCCTCATCACTATATCATTGCCTACTGTTTTACACAAGAGAATCCTCCTATTTCGCAACTACTTGACGATTTTCCATACATAGACTATTTTCTCTCCTTTTTGTATTAAAAAAGATTGCGTAACTTTTAAGGAAAAAAATCGGAGTTTTTTTTTAAAAAAATGTTTCTTTTTTTAACTTAAGTAAAGGAACTATTAAAATTATTACCAATAGTATATCCAGTAATCCATGTTGGTGTTCTAGAAATTACTCCCATTAGAGAATCAGCATCCTTACTCACTTCCAGCCCTGGGTAAACTTATGTACTCTTTTCAATTTCTCTTAAATTGAAATGATTTCATCCTAATAAAATTTCAGCTCTCTATTATACCAATGTTAGAAATGTTCCATTTTCTCTAGGTGTCGAGATATACGGTATGATTCCAAACTGCCCCAAACGAGCGTCATCATCTGCTTTCACAATGAAGCGTGGAGTGTCCTCTTGAGAACTGTACACAGCGTTCTAGAACGTTCTCCCGAGCATCTCCTCAAAGAAATTATCCTGGTGGACGATTTCTCTGATCAGCGTAAGTCATTTTATTATTATTCCAACTTTTCATTTCAGAACGTTTATACATATTGAAGCACTCTGTAAAAAAAATGGATGTTCACGAAACTTGCCAAGTTTTTGATGAAAGCGTTTCCTGGTATAGGCCCCGAGCAAAAATTTCATCAAAGTGACGAAATAATTATCGTCAGTTCTTCGATTAAACGAATTTCTTCAAAATTAAATGGATATTTCATCATTCTCTCTCCATCTCTCTCTTTTTTTTTACAAAAAAAGAAAAAACGTAGCTCATAACTTTTCCAATAATCACTTTATCGTGGGCACGCTATATAGTTTGTCTATGTAACGAACTCCCCCAGCCATTCGCTTGGAGTGGTGACGATGACTATGGTTACCATTTTTAACTATTAACTATTTTAACTATTAACTCGAGAGAAAGGGCATCAGGGGAGAAAGAAAGTCCCTTCTTTAAAATGCGCCACTTCTTGTTTCCATAGCAGCAGACGACCTTAGACTCTAGGGTGAGGGGAGTTCATTCTATAGACAAACTATAGGTAGATCAATGTCGCCCAAACAACTCAAAAAAGAAGGAACAGAGATACTGAGATACAGATATGCCCGAACCGGGATTTTCCTAGTACTAAGCGAACTCCTTGAGCACCCTACAGCCGGTCATCTTGTTTTGTCACCCTATTTTCTATCATTTAGTTTTCATTTTATTTCCACCATTCTAATTAACAGTCTCCCACAATGCACTGTAAGGCACAGTTCCGAGTTAAGCTAACATTTTCGTCTTATATTTGAGAATTCGCATTTTGTCACGAACAACATGATTTCGTGACGAAATTATTCTCAAAATTAACGAAATATAGCTCAAGGATTACTCAGAAGGGAGAATTTTATTTTCTACTAGCCGCTAAAGGCGGCCAGCTGTCCGCCACGCTAACGGTTTTCACAAATAAAGCTTTTTAAAACATAGCAGGAAATCTGAAAATTAGTGGACNACAGCCGCTTTTATTATTATGTATAGAAGAGTGCAGCAAATTTTATGAAATCTCTATTCCTCACAACAATCTCCTGTTTCTTACTGAACCGCAACATTATATGGGGTTCAACAACTAAATCTAAGTTAGACTTTTGTCAACCAACCGACTAAACATTTATGAAATCTCTTAAATTGCAGTGTGTGTAACAATTTCTCTTCACTTGTGTACCTTTGAAACGTTTAAAACTCTATCAATTTAAAAAATGCTAAGAAAACAAATTTTTTTCTTCATCCGTAGCTCATCTAAAAAAGAGGTTGGAAAACTATTTAACCATGTTGCCTAAAGTTCAGCTGGTTCGCGCACAAAAACGTGAAGGTCTTATCCGTGCTCGTCTTCTGGGTGCCTCCGTTGCTTCAGGACCTGTTCTCACCTACTTGGATTCCCATTGTGAATGTACAGAAGGTAAGGAATGAAGTTTAAGATGCTAAAAGGAGGAGGAGTAACTTTTCTTTGATAGAAAAGTTGTTTTTTTAAATTTTTTAGATTATTTTATTTCATGCCTTTTCGTCTTGGAATTTTGTAAGTAATAAATATCTTTTCTTAAAGATTTAGGGGTTTTTCCAAGCTATAATTTTAAAGTCATGTTAATAAGTTTTAATTATATTTAATTTGATTTTTTCTATAATAAATATATGAATATTACGATATGTGTATACGAATAATAAGACGTAAGAAATGATAAAAATAATAATTACCCCCCTCATTAGGTGACCACTAAAGCAGTGCACCGTAAGTGGTCACCTTACATCACTGTTTGATGTTTTTTGCTTAAAGAACTCTAACTGGTTTTAATTCCTTTGTTAGTTTCATGCATGATATTGTTATGCCTTGTTGATTATGGTCCTAAATAAGGATTATACATTTAAAATATTAATATAACCGACTTTTTCATACCCACTGTTGCCATTTCAGACTACAAAATATTCTAAAAGAATAAATACATAATCATGAGCAAAGAAAATCTATTAAGCACTGTTCTATAATTCCAAACGATTTTAATTCTGTTAATTTCATGCTTAATGTTATTATACCTTGTAAATTCTTATCCTAAATAAGGTTTTATACATACAAATTTAAAATAAAATCGATTTTTTCATACCGTTGCCATTTCAGATTATAAAATAGTCTAAAAGAATAAGTACGTAATCATGAGCAAAGAAAATCCTCTAAACGCTGTTCTATATCTCCAAAGGATTTTAATTCTGTTAATTACATGCATGATCTTATTATACCTTATTAATTCTTATCCAAAATGAGGATTATACATACAAATTTATTATATAATCGACTTTTTCAAACCGTTGCCATTTCAGACTATAAGATAAATGAATAAGTACGTAATCGTGATGAAGATCCACTAAACATAGTTCCATAATAACGCCTATGTCTCCGCCTATATTCAGGTGGGGGTTATCATTTATTTACGAATCTCGGGTGTCGCACTTGTAACTGAAGTACTTTTACCCTCATTGTTTTATCGGTCGGGGGATGACGAAAAAAATGAAACAAGTGAAAGTACAAAAAAATAATGTCGCTCGTTTCTCGAGCGGAACTAAATGATTCGATGTCGTGCGTGATTCGAATAGTGTGACTGCAATTCTTTTTATCATTGTGCTTTTAAGAGTTTTTTTGTTGCTGAATTTTCGAGGCGAGTAACACTTCGCAGGGAAAGGTCAACGTTTTTTTCCGTAAAGGGGAATAATCAGAAGTTATTTGGAACTATTAAGGAACTTGTTTTTTTATAAGTTCCATTATTAGAGCCCTGAGAGTAATTGGCGATTTTTTTTTAATGGTATCAGAGTATAATGAGCGATAAAAGGATAGGTTGATATTCATTTTGTTTGGATGTATCAAAACAATAGCGCCATTTTGTTTCTGCTTTGTGTACAGTTGAAACAGCAGCTTAAAAAACGGACCTGTGGCAAAATATATAATTTATCATCTGCGGTCGTATTTAAGTTTGTACAGTTCGCAAAAAAAAAGAAAAAAAGGACCACCCTGTAATTAGTTTAATCGGAACCCAAAATTTTTCCCAATACTTGATCCCAATACAAGAAGTGCCCTTGTCTTCTTGATTGGGTTTAAAATTACTAGGATAGAAAGTTGAATCGATTGTTCAATGATAGTTATAAAATAAAAAAACTTAGTAATTTAATTCAGTATAAGTTTTGAAACAAGGGTAGTCACACAAATCTCCTCTCTAGAAGGTATTGCACAAACCCATATTACAGTTTTCGCACTTATGCTTTGATTCTCGTTGTTTGCAGTTTTTATTTCGATTTTTTTCTTACCTATTCATAAACCGTATGAAAATGTCTTTGATTTATGAAACACACAAAGCACATTCAAAATATGCTTTTAATGCTATTAATCCTGTATAATATTAGCCAGTGGCAGTTTGAAGAAGATTAGGCCGGTTAACAAGCGATATCACGTTTTAAACGCACATTTTCGGCTATAACGTGCTATTCAGATTAGGGGCTTCGAGCAAATTTCAATTTTTTTCGAGCGTGCATTTCAAGCTGTGTTCAAGTCGGAAATACGCATAAATTTTTTTAAAAAAAATTTAATTTTTAGCAGTAACGTGCTTAGCAGATTATGCTCATTTGTGACCTTTGACGCAGAATTTTTATTAAGCATATTTTTCATACTTTTTTCATTATTTTGTATCAAATTATTTCAAAACAAGTGAAAAATATTATATGGTTGTCTTTTTCTGCATTAAAGGTAATATCTTTCAAGCAATATTTTTTCAAAAGAATGCCAACCGGACTGTGTACGGGTCAGGGAATGGGTTTTGCATTAGAAAGGTTCTGAGTTCGAATCCCGAACAAGACGTGGACGTTTTTTCATTCTCTGTACGATCTGTTCTTACTGTAGGAGCAACGTTGGCCCACCTTATAGGGTGCCCTTGAAAGAGTGCCCAATAAATCTGCCCTAATAGGCCTGAATGGACGATATGCCAATCCAGGTGGGCATTAGGGAAGAAAAAAATTTTCAAATTTGAACTCATGTGCAGTTATTTTGATGTGAAGAGAAACTGATATTCATTAATAAAATTTCTTTCATTTACAAAATCGACTATTGATAAATTTTTGAATATGAAAGAAAAAAATGTTTTTTTCTAACTACCTTAATTGATTTTATATTTTTAAACAGATATAATTCCAATAATCCAACTGATTTTTTGAGTAACATTTGAACATAACATTTGGATTTTTTTTTAGTCAGCTTTTTTTTTTAATATGAATGAAATTTTTTTTTTCAAACTTTTTTCTTGGATTTAATATTTTAGTTCCATAATTGCGATAATCTAGCAGATTTTTTTTATTAACTATTAAACTGTTTTTTATTATTAAAAAATGCAAAAATATATATTTGCTTGTAATTAGAGCGCCAANAAGGGACACCTGTATCCTATTAACGTCAAAGGGTTTAACTCTCCTTTTGAGGTATTTTCAAACGCGCGTTTCGATCGAATTCTTTGATGATTCAGGCCAGTAGACTCAATTTTCAAATATACCTTTTTTCTCAAACATCTAATTCTTTTTCACCTCTTCTTTTTGGCATACCGTCTAGTCAGTGGGCGGGCAATATTGCAATGATTAACGCGTTTAGGAATTACTCCAAGCGTAAACTGAGAATTGTTTTAATTCTAATCGCCAATATGGCGCAATTGCCTATCTAATCATTGGGGGGGAGGGGGGAAACAGAGAAAGGAAATGTGGCCAAAGTATTGTACTTTTATTCGGTCTGATGATCAGAAATTTTTTTTCTTCTTTTTTCCACATTTCATTTGTCAACCGAAGATTCATAGCAATTTTCCGCCCTTTGAATCGGACATTTGTTCGGTTTGCTTTGGCGTAGAAATGATTTGAGTGGTTAATCAATTCGAATAAACAATCATTCTGACTGACTTTCAAAAAGCTTTCGCAATGAGTGAAATTCGAAGCTCATAATAAGGAATTTCTTCATAACCGAATTTGATAAAGGCAGTTTACTGAAAACGATTCTCTGTGAGATAAAATTATATATTTGGGTGGGAAATTTTTTATCCAACTAGCAGTGGTTATTTTAGACTTTTTGTAAAAGATCCTGTTTTTTGTGAAAGTAGTTTTGCGTTATTATCCGACGATACGGAATGCCCGTCACAGTATATCTGCCCTCTTAACCAGTTAACTGCAAGTGTAGGCAATTTAAATAAAAAGTTAAAAACCAAAAATAAACGAAACGAAATTTTAAAGATATGTATGTTAGCAAAAACAGCACTTCATCAGGGGACACACTGTCTGCTGACACACTGGAGCCTTTCTGTAGTCAGTGGTTAAACCAAAAGCTGACTTTGCCCCCAGGCCCCCATGATGGAAAAACTAAATAAGAAAATGCAATACCTCACAAATTCAAATATTGAAATAAAGATGGATGGTGTCCATGTATAGTAAATTGGCTTTGCTCTGCAAGATGAGATCGCTTTCAGCTCCACCTGGTGAAAGACTAAGGAGTTAACTTTATTATCTCTGAATCAATGCCACGTAGAAGAAAAGATGAGCTATAGAAGTTATACAGAATCATCGATTTAGTACGTTTTTGTAGACATTAATGCTAAAAAGCGAATGCTTAATGCGCGCATTTGTTTGTTCGTGATTTCTTGTACTGTGACGTGGCAAATTAATTTTGTTGGGGTAAAAGAACTATTTATCAGCCTTTATTTACGATGCAAAATATTTGAGAGAGGTTTGTACGTCCTAAAAAAGGGGGTACATTGCTGTAGCTATCTTACTATGCTCGTGTTTCGTCACGGCCCAAATGGTCTAATAAATGTTTTTTAGAATTATCGCAAACTGCCTATTTATGAGTTGTGATGGCTCAAGTAGAGCACTCGCCTTCCAATGACGAGTACCGGGTTCGAAATCCAGAAATGGCTGGTCGATATGAATCCCGCATCCGGCTCGTACTGACCACAGTGTGACGTAAAATCAGACGGATCATGGGTGAGAGTCCCCTTGCTGTCAGGCTAACCGTGGGAGGTTTTAGTGGTTTTCCTTCTGTATATAACTCAAATGCGGGTTAGTTCCATCAAAAAGTCCTCCATGAAGGCAATTTCTCCCAATACTTGATCCAGGAGTTCTTTTGGCTTCTAGATTGGGTTCAAAATGATAAGGCTACGGAGTTGAACATTAGTAGACGTAAACCCGAAAATTGGGTGGGCTGTTCAACGACGGTTATAAAATATATAAAAACTGCCTATTTGAAATAAAAGTCTATTATGCGAGAACTACGCAGTCTACATGGTAATATAAATTGTCTCATCTTGTAACACATGGTCACTTTACTATAACCAGCTGTAGCCGTCCTAAACCTAAGGAGGTTGACCTATAAATTTTGAATCGTCGATGCCAATAATTTCAATGTATTGATTTATTTATTTTCAGGTTGGTTAGAGCCACTGATGCAGCGTATCAAAGATAACACGACGAATGTTGTGTGTCCTGTTATTGATGTCATCAGCGATGACAGTTTCCAGTATCATTACAGGAGCTCCAAACACCTGAATGTGGGTGGATTCGACTGGAATCTTCAATTCAACTGGCATCCTGTACCTGATAGGGAAAACAAACGTAGAAAACATACATACCTGCCAGTGGCGTATGTATATTTCCTTTAAGAACATTTCTGCCGAAATACATTTTTAAAATAGTGTCACGCATAATTGATATCCAATTTTTTTTACAGTATTTTAAACTTCCCTTTGTCACAAAGCGTCATACCTCACCTTACCCCCATCCCCCTGGTCCCCCCAAAAACCTGTACACAAAGCTCATGCTTATAGATCATGTTTCAAGTTTAAATTTTTAACCACAAACGTCATTAAAACTCGACAATCACATAGTCGCTTTGGTGAATGCCCGAAATATTTGTTTTGTCTGATTTGATATTAATTTATTCGTTGATATCATTATATTTATTGGATATTTTAATACCTGCCGAGGATAGATTAGGAGAAACATCAGTGTTCAGAGTTCCAGTTAAATGCATGCTAGGCAGTGGCACTTGACCTTAAAGAAACATTGATGCAGAGAATACCGGGCAGTGACTAGACCTAACACTCAAAACATGTTAAACTTTACACTTTATTTATGTTGGGATATTAATTTCCTTCGGTTTGTTTCAGATGAGTAATGATATGATAATGGTATGAAGTAATTCTCGTGAGTTTGAAGTGAAAATTTGTTTTAGTTATTTAGAGACGTATTGTTAAAAAAGATGACATGGTTGCTAGATTTAGAACGAACTCGCTTTGTTGGCAGTTTTGGCCTTTTTTTACTTGTTTATTACTGTTAGTATATTCGAGCAGCAAGATTAAGTTAATTTTATAAATTATCATTTAGGTTCAAATTTCGAAGTTGGTATATTGTTAAGAAGTGTTTTATAACTATTCTTTTTTCAAATGGCGATTGTTACGTCTTGAAATGATAGAGCTTCAAATAACGATTCTTTTAAACACAAATAAACAATAAGGTAACTAATACACGTACACAAAATTTAATACTCGAGAAAGTCTCAAAACTCAATGATCACGTTGTGAGCCAATTGACTCAAAACCTCTCAATTTGAAGCCATTTAAATGGCTGCAAAACACACCAAAAACAGTAACCCCGAAGTATTGGCAGCCAAGAGCTTGCAGCCCTCCCTAGTGTACAAAACACCATCCATAGTTTAAAATATAGTATTATAAAAATTAGTGATTTATTCTATTCATTTTAAAAGGTTGGAAATGATCATTGACGTTTTTTTCTTTTTCTTTAGCTTTCCAAAGTAGCTATATTTTTTCTTTCTGCAGATTAGTAAAAAATAAGACAAAAATAGCTACTTTGGACAGATGTTTCCGTTGTTGTTGTTTAATCATTTTCTGTCAAGTTTTTTTTGGTATTATTTTACTCCATTGTATAATTATATATTTATATTCTATAGTTTTTTTGAAGTCGTTAGTATTCTTTATACTTATAAAATAATTTTTTCAGGTCTCCAACAATGGCGGGTGGTCTGTTTTCTATTGACAAGAAATTTTTTGAAAAACTAGGACTTTATGACAGTGGTTTTGACATCTGGGGTGGCGAAAATCTAGAGCTTTCTTTTAAGGTCTGTCTAACAATTGACACTTTTATTTTTTATATCAGAAATATCATTAAAAATCATCTTGTAATAAATATGAAATGATGGGTGTTTAATAATCTCACACCTTATATGTATTTATAAAACCCTTGTCAAAAATTAAATGAAAAAAGTACTTATTAGTTGTCTAAAATTATCGTTTATGGGAAGAAAAAAGCTTAAGTAGTATTAAATTAATGAGGTAGATTGGATTTAAAATTTTAAAACCTGTTTAATTGCCTGAGGGTATTAAAAGGTGGTTATTGAAAATGCCTTTAAATTTTATCTGACAATCTAACCGGTTTTTTTTTTTACCTGTTCCATCTATGGTGATTAGTTAGGCTTTGGTATAACTTTTTTTTTGTTACCCATAATGTTCCTATTTTTCATTTAATTTCATTTTTAATTAGGATCTAAAAAAATGCATACATATGTAGAATTTCGAATCCAGTCAAATGAATTAAATTTTTTTGACCAAAAACTTCATATTTTATTTGTTGACATTTATATTCTACTGAATTTAAACACATTCTTTCTACCTCAAACTACTGCCAGGAATCTCATTATCGAGTTTATTATTCATAAAATAAGTTCTTTCATGCATGATAAAGAAAATAGGTAGAATTTTCTTTTACATCTGACTGGTTGGCATTTCTGCTCAAAATATTTACACCTGACACCTTTATTCGCTGATGTTTGATCCTAATTGCATACCCTCCAACTTATGAGGATTTTGAAAATAATTCTTTCTGGTGGTAGCGAACCAAAGTAGAAATTTTTAAAGCAAATGGATCTCTCATAAAACTTTTATCAGAACTTAAGAATCTAGCCATATGGCCTGCACTTTTATAAGTAATAGTGGACAAGTTACGCTAAAATTAATTTTTTTAAAATATTAAGACATTAATTTTGCTACCGTCTGAAAAGAAGATTTCTGAAACTACGGAAATTCCGTAGTAGTTGGAGGGTATGTAATTGCATTAAGAGTTAAACATTATAAGGTCTATGTAAGTTGGTTCAAAAAATGAGTGAAAAAAGATGCATTTAAATATTAGTATCTTACATCCTAATTTTAAAATCTTAGACATTAAAAAGGCTCTAGGTATTTTTTAAAAAAATAGTACTCTATTTTCAGTAAAAAAAGTCATGTGTGTTCTAATTTTTTTGTGTTTTATATAAGGCACACAATGCCCATCTTTTTAATATTTAGACAAAAACAAAACAATTGCTGTTGGTCTGCCTATTTCAGAGAGTAATGTTAGGCCACAGAAGTGTTTAAAAAAACTAAATATAACATACTACATATTGATTGGAAATTAATTATATTCCATTTAAAAAAAATCCTCTCCTCTTTCCAATTGTGTATTCTAAGTCTGCAGAATTTTAAAATGACTTAAATACTCCTGAAATAAAAATAGAAAAACGAATCTATCAGGCAAATAGGGCTGCCTATGGAATGATTATATGGATAGGGATGTCTATGAGAAGATTTATTAAATCTAAGTTTTTTTTCTAAAGAAAAAAAGCAAAATTCTTAATTTACAGAACTCTTGACATATACTTCTGAAGCTTGGACAATGACCAAACTGGAGGAAAATTGTATCCTAATATTTAAGAGAAATATTTTACGGAGTATACTTAGTGGTGTAAATGAAAACAATACTTGAAGAAGGTGATTTAACTTTGAACTGTACAAGATTTATAAACAACCCGATATTATTAAATACATAAAAATAAATGGAATGAATTGGATGGTGATTCGAATGAGTGAGGACAATACAATAAAAAAGATATTGCTTTTTAGATCCACTTGAAACTAGAAAGCGGGGAAAGCCATGGTTGAGATGAGCTGATTCAATAGAGTCTGATTTTTTTGTTGTTGTCATTAATGAAAAGAATTGGTGACCAAAGAAAAATCGGAAGTCTTTATGGAGAAATCTTCGGAGGAAGACTTTGGCATACATTGGGCTGTCTGGTCAACTATGATAATGATGAGTGAAATTGTTATTCACTCAGCTTCTTTTGGTAAATTTCGTGGCAGTTAAATGCACTTAAAGTATTGATAGGAATTTTCAATATTAGTTGTTAATTAAATTTCTTACTGTGTATTTCTCTAATTTCTTCTTCAAAGTCTGGCCAAATATTACTTATGCGAGTCCCGGAGTAGACTGATCGGTTCCCAGTAGAACACCGAAGTCAAGCATCACTGACAGCGGTCAGTAAGCGGGTGGGTGACCACTTTGATCAGCGTGCGTAGGGACCGAGGGTTCGCGGAATCGGTCCTCATTAAACTGTTCTACCGTAAAGTGCCCGCCTTCATGTGCAGATCGTCGGATTACCAAAGCAGGAGAGCCATCCCCTCTGCAGAGGATCAAAATCACGATGGCGTGTCTTTGGATCATCCTCAGGGATGTTTCCCAGACCATCGCTGATAGCCCATTGTGCAGCACTAGTGCGACCTTAATAAAGCATCTGCCTACCATTACTTATGATAATAGAGTATCATAAAAAATTTCTTTTTAGTACCTGAAACTTATAGGTATAAGTTTTTCAAAGTGCTTCATTTTTATTTTGTTGATTTTAAATTGCTTTTAAATTCTAAAGAATAACATGCTTGACTTCCAGACTTGGATGTGTGGTGGAACTTTAGAAATAGTACCCTGTTCACATGTGGGTCACATCTTCAGGAAGCGAAGTCCATACAAGTGGAGGACTGGCGTCAATGTTCTGAAAAGAAATTCCATTCGTCTTGCAGAAGTTTGGTTGGATGATTATGCCAAATATTATTATCAAAGAATTGGCACAGAACTGGTAGGATTTATAAGTATATTTCAGTATTACTGAGAAAAATTGTGAATTGAATATTTATATTCTTGTATTTCACTTGAATGAGTTGAGTAGGAAAATCATGTTTAATGACTTTGAGAAAACATCGAACTTTTCAAATATAAAGAAATTTTAGAACTTTATGTAAGGTATTAATGTCAAAAGGTAAGACTGGAACGGATAGTATGAAACTCAATAAAATATTTATTCACTAAAAGAAAACCATGCTTCATTTTCACAAGGAAAAAACAAAATTACTTTCTGGGTAACCCAATGTTATTTAAGTATTTCAATGAAGATATTCTTCAGAAAATATCTTTGAGAGCAAGAACTTAAAACTTCTGATTTTTTTCTAAATTTAAAGCAATAAAGCTATATATACTTACTTGATAGGCAATTCAATATTGTAGTAAGTTTTCCTGTTTGTAAATATTTCAATTTTTTTTTTAATAATATACTGAAACTGATTTGGTTTCAGAAAATATTTTTTCTCATAATCTATCTGAAACTAGATATTTCTCAATGAAATCTGTAAACAAACAGTCATTAGCATTTCTCAAAATGCTAATTTTATATTACAAGCTAAAAGAAGATGGTTAAAAGCAAATTTTACATCTACCTTCATCCGAAGCTTTTCATGGTTATCAAATGTAATGCAGTTATTCCATTTTCTTTATGATGGAAGATAATAGTTCATACATATTGTACAGCACGCCAAAAGAAAAACGGACCACCTTAAATAACTTTCGATCTAATGATTGGACCTCCACTTTCTTGGACTCAATCTTAATGGCTCAAAGGGATGACCTCAAATATGCTAATTAATAAGTGAAGAATATATTTTAGGTCAGTAACGAAATCAGACCCAAAAACATACTTTCTGTGAATAACCTTTACCTTTATTTCAACAGATTTGGATTTTTGATCCTTAAAATATGGAGGGTAGCCGCTATCTGGGAAATAGGGTCCCCATAGTTTGGTCAGGAGAGTGATTCAAATTTTTGACCCCTGAATGTTAATTTTACTGTTTGCGTATTTCACCATACCTCGAGATCTTTTTAAGCGAATTGAAGCATTTTTGCACGCAATTATAAAATTCATTTATCCAAAGATAATTCCATGCAAAAAATTAATTTTAGTAAATATTTATTGTTTTTTATTTTATTAGATAATCAAAAAAAATTTTGAATTGTAAGTTTTTTACATCATTTTAAAGCATGTCAACTTTGCATGGAAAAGTACAAAATCTGAGCGAAATCCGTTTAGTAGTTCCTTTTAAATATCTGAGTCTTTTAAAATTCAATTTCTCAGGAAGTATTCAACCAATTTTGCTCAAATTTTCTATTTTTCCATGAAAAATTATCTTTAAATTGATGCAAAAAATTTTATACCTTACAGTTCAAAATTTTTTCGACCATTTTTAAAAAAAATAATAAAAAATAATTCATATTTGCTGAGTTATTTTTTAAACGGAATTATCTTTGGATAAATGAATTTTATAATTGTGTGCAAAAATTTTTGACTCGCTTAAAAGGTTTTCAAGATATAGCGAAATACGCAAAAAGTAGAATTAACCTTTAAGAGGTCCAAACTTTGGAGCACCCTTCTGACCACATTATGAGAACCATATTTCCCAGACTTCAACTACCCCCTATATTTTCGTGGTCAAAAATCCAAATCAGTTGAAAAAGAATTATGTTTATTTAGAGAAAGTACATTTTTGTGTCAGATTTCTTAACTTAAAATATAGTCTACATCTGCACTTATTAATTAGCATATTTGATGTTACCACCTCGAGCCATTAAGTTTTAATCTTATAACGGGAAGATCTGATAATTAGATCAAAATTTATTCAGAGTGGTTCGTTTTTTTTTGTTTTTTTTTTTGCGCATTGTACATTGTACTTGTGAAGAATTGATAGTCCACTGGTGTATCAAAATAATAATTGCTCTATTTTAGTAACTTGGCTCTTTATCGAAAGATAAAATAGCCGAAAACAAAGCCAATGTAGCATAACTAGTAACATTACATTTTAAATAATTTAAAGCTAAATGACCAAAGAGGCTCTGAGAATTAATACAATATTTTTGTGGTAAGGGTGATTAAGTAACTTAAGGAATAAAGAGTTAAGAATAGATTTGGATGTTTGATTTAATCGTGGCGGTGAATTAATGAGTTGTGCATTTGTATTGAACTAAAAAGTTAGCCGTTGCATTCATTGTTAAGAAGAAAATAAAATATTTATATCTTCTTTTTGTAAAATGTCATAAAAATTAGGTTTATGAAATTGAAAAAATTTTAGGGAACGGGTTAGTCTGGTTGGCAGGGCAGTGAATTCACAGCGGGAGTTTGAATCCGACTCCCCATGTAGTAAATGGTGACTGGCGTTTGTTAAATATGTCTTGTCACTAAGTCCTCCTTGTTCCCATAACAGATTATAGCTCTGGAGGTACTGAATTGGAGATTGATCGATTTCTGGTTCAAATCAAAATTATGAGCTGTGGGTGAATGGGTTTGTCCTATAAAGGGGTGTGATGTATAGGTGTGCAGAAGTCGAATTCTTGGCCATAGATGGCCCCACTGAAAAAAAAAGAACAATCTCACCCCTTGCCTTAATGACCTATGGCAACAACAAAGAAATTTTAAGAGCTAGCAAATATATGATGCCTATATTGGCATCCTAGCAATCATATTTAGTTTATAAAAAGTTTTCTTTTAAGAAAAAGATATTATATGTATTGCAGGGCGAGTATGGAGACGTATCAGACAGAAAAGAGCTTCGCAAGAACTTAAAATGCAAGAGCTTCCAGTGGTACTTAGACAATATATATCCTGAGCTTTTTATACCCGGTGATGCTGTAGCTTCAGGAGAGGTAATGTATAATAATTGTTACTTAAAGCATAATTATATATGTTTTTATATACTGAACTGTTTTAGTAAAAGGTCACTTTTAGGAGTCAGAAAGTAACATGCTACAAGTAGCGAAATTATTTTATTCACTAATTTTATTGTAGTGTAGTGCTCTACTTTTTTTTAAAAAGAAAAAGCGTTGCAATGAGTAGTGCTATACAAAAAAACAATTGTTTGTAGCAATTTATGGCAACTACTTTTAAAGAAATAAGGTTCAAACAAAACTAATTTTTTTAGTTTCATTGGTCGCGAGTTCGGCGATAGAAATGCTATTGTGGCTTAGTGTTAAGAAGAAATACATCTTATGTTCCCTTAGCAGCACGTTTTGTTCATGCAGGCATTATAAATAATGAAAAATATCTAACCTAATCCTTATTATTGATAGCTACTATATCACTTTGGCCGTACCTTCAAATGCGATAGTGCACAAGAAGAAAAAAAATGGACCATCCTGAATAATTTTTGATCTAATGATCGGATCTTTACATTATAGGACTCAGTGCAGACAATATTTTAAGCTACGAAATCAGACTCAAAAACATAATTTCTCTGAATAAACATACCTTTTTTTAAAAAAATATGACTGTTTTAAGAATTTATTTCTCAGGAACTATTTAACAGATTTCACACAAATTTTGCATTTTGACATGCAAAATTAAATTTTTTTAAAAATTATATAAAAAATTGTATACCTTAAAGATACAAAATTTTTTTGACTTATTTTTTATAAAATAATAATTTAAAAAAGAGTTAAAATTTCAAAATTTATTTTGATACCTTCTTTGTTTAGAATGCATATGTTTTAAAAGTTTTTTTTTTATCATTATTAAACTAATAAAATGAAACAAAAATTTAACTTGCACTGTTATCACATCAACCCCTTAAATCAAATTAAGTCAACATAATTTACTCGTTTTGATGCATTCTTCAGTTTATTATATGTTTCTTCAGTTCGTTATGTATATTAAAGATAGAGCTCCTATAAACATCAAAACCTGCTAATTTATTTCATTTTTCAAGGCTACATTTTGAATGTATATTTGATATGATTTTTTTATCATTTGTTTTCTTGTTTTTTTTTTGTGAAATGAAATTTTTTTTAAATATTTATGATTAATGTTTATGTGTTTTCTTTAAAATTGTGAAAATGTATTTTTAAATTTTACATTTATATATATTCATTTTGTTTCTAATCAAATAATTGTTTATTAACTTTATGTGAAAGTTTTTTTTTTAAAGAATTATTCGAAGGTAATGTATTTTAGTATTAGTATGTCTAATTACAATTTAAAAGATATATTTTTTAGGTTATATGCATTTGATTATTTTGTATTTTTTTATGACATCATTGGTACCAAAAACGTTTATAAAACTTGATGACTTTATTTTATTTTAAAAATTTTGTCCACCCAGATAATCGATTATTTAGAAAAAAAATTTGGTTAACAATAAATTCGAATTTTTCATATTAAAAATTAAGTGGTAGAATTTTTTGTTTTAAGGCAATAAAGGCAAATCTTAAAGTTTTTTTCTCAGGTAAAATTATTATTATTTTTTTTGTCAAAATATTTTTTACATAACACTCTTTTGAAATAGCAAAATCTTGCTAATTCAAAAGATTTCATATTTCATTTCATATATATTTCGAATTTAATGTCTCAAACTTACACAAAACTTATTCTAATTTTTAAAATTTTGTTTTTATATAAAAAAAAATCAGAAGTAGATCTGTAAGATGACATTTTTTTGTTTAAAAGTATTACATTTTTGAATTATTGAACAAAAATACTATTAAGTATGTTTTCTAAAAAATTTTCTTATGAGTGTCAATAGTTTAGAAGATGAATAGCTAAATGGAATCAAAATTTCCTACATTTTAAATGTAATTCAGTATATAAATTAAAAGTCATTATTCTTTTTTTTTTTTGTTTTTTTGAAATTTTACAAAGCATGTTTGAAAATATTATTTGTTTGAGTACTTTACGACACATAGTTAGAGCACATTTAAATATATTTAGTCCTCCTTAATTAACTGTACCTTTATTTTAAAATAAAGTTAATGAAACTAGATTTCTTCTGTGCTATATTAATAACATCAAATTTCTAGATAATAAAAAAAAATTTATTTGCTTCAAAAAAATATGCAGGTGGTAAATTTTGAACCAAAGCAAATTTTTATATGAACATGTATATATCTATCTGCTTCTATTTCATGAGATCATTCATTTAATTACACTAAATTACTTAAGATAAGTTACTTATGTACTTTATAAGTTAAATTACTTTGTTTGTTAATATTGTATTATAACTGTTGTTTTATTGTATCAGATATAAATATGTTTTTTTTATAAATATGTCTTGCAACATCTATAAATATGAAAAGATTTATTACATATTACCCATATTTGGCATTAGTTTAAAGTTATCTTACCATATAAATGTATAGGACGTAGTAAATCATAGTACTAATAAATAAAAAAGGAATAAATTAGTAATTCATACTAAGAAAAAAATTTTGCTTCTTAATTATATAAATGAGTTCTTTTGATTGTGAATAAGTATAATTGTGAATAGTAATTGTGATTGTGAATAATAATTTCTTAATAGGTATTGGGATGAGAAGTTATTATTTTAAAATTTTCTTGCATGTAATTTTATACTAATTATACTAATAAATACTGCTTTGTTACTATAACAATAATCATAATCACATAACCTTTTCATTTCAATTTGTTTTATACAAAAATGGATCTAGAATTGGAATCTGTGTTTTGTTTTTACATTACTTACATTTTAATGAAGAAGAAAAAAATTAGTAAAAGAGATCATTTTTACTTTTTTTTTTAAATTTCAAAATTTAGCGCTGCTTTGGGGATTATTTTCTTTTATTTTTTGATATTGTAATGAATAGTTTTTGGATTTATTTAGTAGTAAAATATGAGAAATTAAGAGCAGTTATCTGGGAGTGGTTTTCTTTGATTTATGGCTTTATATAAGCTTCATATTTGAATCAATTCATTACAAATCTATGAATATTTTATTATAATTAAACTAATGTGTTTAATACTAGCACATATATTTTGATCAATTTACTAAAATCTAATATATAGCAAAGGAAGATTTTTAAATATTGTAAATAAAGTTTTCATTGTTACAGTGTATGATGAAAAATTGTCAATGATTGTACAAATTTTAACTTTATAGGATAAAAAAATTTTTAGCGCAGTAAAAAAATAGAAAATTTTGTTTTTTTGGAAAGTAATGAGTGACATTTTAAAATTAATTCTACAACTGTAGTATTTTTACGATTGCTTATTGTTTATTCAAAGTCATTTCTAGTATTATTCCAGTTAATATTTAATTAGTTCTTAAATGTTAAAGAAATTTAAATGAAAACTGTACTTTTCTTTTTAATCTTATGTTAGATATATAGATACAAAGTCTAAGAAAAGTATTCAATATATATTTTACCTTTTTGATGTTATTTTATTCTTCTCTAAAGATAAGCATTTGCAGTTCTTGAAACATATATATAATATATTTAATAAAAATACTTTAATTTAACATCATTTAAATTATTTTCATATTAACTAATTTATAATAAAATAGCACTAAATACTTTGTTGAAATAGATTTTTGAGTAATATTCTGTCTTTAAATAATGTTAACACATAAAGATTTACTATTTTTGTATTAATGTTACTGGAAGATCAAATTGATAAGTTTAAAAATGTCTTATATTAATCACTACAATTATTCATAGTTATAAGAATTGTTAACATTATGTTAGAAAAGTACTTAACCCTATTCTCACTTCAATCCAGATTCGTAACCTGGGTGGAAGTGGTCGCAACATGTGTGTAGATAGTCCAGCACGAAAAGCTAATATGCATAAACCTATTGGTTTATATCCTTGCCATAACCAGGGGGGTAACCAGGTGAGTCTTTTTAGCTTTTTTTTTTTCCTTCATAGCTGGCAACTTTCTCTAATTATAGTTTATGTTTAAAAATATTTTTATAAATCAATGAATTATTTAAATAACTTTTTAATAGATTTCTTTAAATGGTCATTTATATAAATGAAAGGAGTGATTGTACTCCGAGGGGTGGTCCGGAATTCTGGCGTTTTCATCAAATGTTCATTTAATGAATCTCTTCAAAATGTTGGCAGCTATGAGAAAAACTACAATTTATGTATCTTTTTATCATTTGCTAGAGATGGTTTATTGTTTACCGGAGTGACCAAAATTTTTTAAGTTTTTCATTACACATTTATTACGTTTTGTATGAATAGTCCTTGAAAACATATATCTTGTTTATAGATAACTTTAATCGCCGTGCTATCTAGACCTCAGTTGAACGAAGAAATGCTATTTCTATAAAGAGGACACTATATCTAAACCAAACCAGGACTTTATTAGACTTAGTTGAAAAATCAAATTTACAAATTTTTCTTTAAAATAGTTTAGTGTTGACAAGAACAAAAAAGAAGCAAGTAGTTAACTAGCAAGGGTTAAAAATAACAAATTTTATAAGCAGACAATTAGCAAATTAATAAAATTTCAAAAATAAAATATTTTTGTTAAAACCTATCCTATATTATTCACAAATACAACTTGAAGTCAGGTTGTTTTTTCACTTTAAGAGTCTCTCAAGTTTGGTTGCAGTCTTTTTGTTCTCCTCGTTGATTTATATGCTTTCAATATCTCGAAAACCTTGTTGTGTCAAAAAAATATTTTCCCCCTTGGCATTACATATCTATCTAATATATAATTTATATTCCTATGTCGAAGAGTTTCTTCTTAAAACCTTGCTATGCCGAATTTTTCTGGAAATAGAAAATCAATTTTTTCAGAAAAATCACAATGTAAGTGTCATGTAAACCAATTCTTTCTATTTAATGCATAATGATTTGTCTTACTTTTAAAAATGAAATTATTATTGTTGTGTTTATACTTGAAGTCAACTATCATTACACACATATTTCCTCTTATAATTCACGACTCTACCTTTTAGAGTAATATTTTAGAATATAGTTCTCCATTTTTTTGAGCATATTTACTTCTGAACTTGTTATCTCGAAAACTCGCTACCTCAAAATTATTTTAGTGTCCCTTCAACTTTGAGATATTGAGAGTATACTGTAGTTGAAAGTTGTAATTTTTTTTCGCAATCCATTTCCATATCATTAACTTTAAAATGTACTAAAGTTTCTTATACGAATCTATAATGTTTTGAAAATATTAGTTGGAGCTTGGTGAATTGTCTTATGTCTAACATTGCCTGCTTGTGCATGTATTTCTCTACTAAAACCTGTACTAATAGATCTTATTAATGCTTTGCATTAAAGCATTTGTGTGGAATTTTATAACAAGTAAACCCGAAGAAGTTGTATAGAGTTTTACCACAGAATGGAAAATAAAATGGGGACTTGCAGAAGTTCTTGCGATATATCTATAGATGTTGCAAGATGTTTACACAGATGTTGCTGTCATTTTTAGTTCATAAATGGCGCATTAATGTAATGATTGGGATAACTTATAGATACAAAGTGCAGCTAACAAAACAGAAGAGTGGTGCGTAGAAAAGTCACCATTTAAGATAGGTGCATATTTTAAAGTCCAAATGTGGGAATGTGTTCCTGGGAGAGACTATCAGGTAACGTAAAATGGTTTGTTTTATGTTTCAATTTAAAAAATGAAATGATCACTTACAAAATTCAGTTTGAAGTGATGAGATAGTATTTTGCTTGCTTCAACTGACCTTAACCTCAAGCAATCTGATGTCAAAACTGTTTCGACCAGTTTCATTCCATGGGAATAAAATGACTGCTTCTTTGGCTCCAATACATATCTGCAATTCTTTGTAAAACATAGATTTTTTTTGTGCAAAATTTCACCTAAGTGTTCATACAGTCCACAGTGATGTGATTACTTCAAAGCAGCTTTTCAGCTGCAACCTTCTCTATAGCAAACATATTTGTGCAAAACTGTTCCAACTTTTGTTCCCTCCTTCATCCTTGATCTTTGATTTTGTTTTCTTTTTTGTCTTTCAAATTGATGTCAGCACTTTTTGATTTTCTAATCTTCCCTATGTTAGTTGTGCTTTGTGCAGCATTGCAGCTTATGGCACATTAAATTCTTCATTTATGCTTCCAACTCATAATCAGATTTTAAAATTTTTTTCTGTTGCTTTATCTGTGTAAAGCAGCTATATATATTTTGAGCGTGCTTTTATTTTTTTATGCTAAATGGACGAAAATATTTTTTATGCTAAATGGAAGAAAATTGATAAATTATAAATGTCTTCGTATTATTATTGAGATGCTTCATTAAAAATATATTTCTAACTACAAAGTTAGTCACATTGAATTGCATAAAACACTGAATGCATCCTTGAATTAAGACTTAATGTCTTTTAAAGATGCTTTACAGAATTTTATTTCTACTAAAAATTGCTATTTGTTTTGTTGTTTAACTTTTTTAAGTGAGTTCAAAGTTAATGTTTCACTATAATAGCTTATTTCAAATTATATTCACTCAGTAACAATCATATATTTATAGTGTAAGCCATTTACATGCATATCTTATAAAATATTTCCATTTAATGTTATCTTGATTGAATTGTCTAATTGAATAATTTAAATACTAAATTAGCCTATTGCTTTCTCTTATTAACTCCCAACTACAGGAAGAACAAGGCGCACAGCCTTTTTGAAAAAACCTTAAAGGTGCTTTTTTCATTAAGTGTTTTTAAAAAGTGCTTAATTTTCCCTTTTTCAAAATGAGATTTTTCGTTTACTATGTTGAATTTCGCTTCGAATTATGCAAAAAGACACAGTTCATATTGTTCTATTCAACGTTTTCACAATTATTTCAACCCCAATCTATTTCGGCGTATTGTCAGTCCGTAGCGTAAGAAAACGCCATTCGTTTTACATATTCAAAATGTCATGATTTTTGACAATTTTCAAAACCAATGCCAGATGTTTTTTTTTTTTTTTTTTGGCATGACGGTTAAAACAGGATAAAACCGTCAATTGTCAAAAACTTTCCAGTCATGCCCAATTATGATATTTTTTAAAGTGCTTAGAAATATTTTTCGAGTGCTTAAAAAGTGCTTAAAAGGTGCTTATTTTTTCTTGAACAATTTGACTACGCACCCTGAAGAAGTTTGTAAAATTTTTCAAGTGACCAGCCATTATTTATGTAAAAATACACTTTTAATTTTCGAGGCAACACTGTTTTTAAGTTTATTACCTTGCTAATAAACAAAAATATTTAGAGAAACTTTTGTTTTAATGTTGGTTATAGACAAAATAAACGATCTTTTTAAAATTTGCTAGAAATTAGAAAAGTTTTCTACTCAAAAATAGTTAAATTTGCTTAATTAATTGAAAAAATAGAATTTAGAAAGAAAAAAATATTGAATGTGGGCAAGTTATAAATTTCATTAATTAATGCAATGTTAATAATGTTTACAGTTCTGGTTGTTGAGTCGAGATGGTGAAATCAGACGTGATGAAGCTTGCCTCGATTATGCTGGAAAGGAAGTCATCTTGTACCCGTGCCACGGTTCTAAAGGAAATCAATTGTGGATTTACAATGACAAGGTAATCTATAGAAATAAATTCACTATATTTGTATTCTTTTTTTTTTAAACAACTTAAAAGGAAGTTTTTGTATATGAAGTTTCATAAAAAGAAAATTTTTAACTAGCCTTAAAATGAGAAAAATAATACTATTTTATCAGGTTTTAACAAAAATCGCATGGCGCTTAATTTTGAGGAAATAGATAGAAGAAGATTGTGATGTCAAATACGTTTTTTGTTTTAGGTGTGGCAAAACTCGAAATATTCTCCCTTTTTTTAATTTAGCCTTTTTTTCTATTCTTNTTTTAACAAAAATCGCATGGCACTTAATTTTTAGGAAATAGATAGAAGAAGATTGTGATGTCAAATACGTTTTTTGTTTTAGGTGTGGCAAAACTCGAAATATTCTCCCTTTTTTTAATTTAGCCTTTTTTTCTATTCTTAAATTAATTCCCTTTATTAAAAAACATTGTTTTTAAAATTTTTATTTTAATATTTTTCCTCTTTTCAGTTTGTTATTTGTTAATTTAAGTTTGAAAGTGGTTGAAATTTCAATAACAAGATACCACTCTCCTAGACATGAAAACAAGTTAATAAAAATATGATAGAAATGGTCAAATTTGACTTAGTTTATCTTTTCTTAAATTGTTGAAATCACTTTTATCTAATAAATGTTTAACAATTGTAGCCTTCCATCGATTGACAAAATCAATTGCGTTAACTAACAGATATTACTAAAGAAATTCTTAATTTTGACTGCACATTTACATAAAACAGGTGTAAATGAAAACCTAAAATGTAAACAAAATGTAGGAATTCGACTAGTAATGTCTGTTGAACAGCAAGATTTATAATTTTAATTTATAACTGTTGTTGAACAGCCGACCCAATTTTTTAGGTTTATGACTATTATGTTCAACTCTGTAGTCTTGTAATTTTGAACACGATCCAGAAGACAAGGGAACTCCTGGATCAAGTATTGTGAGTATTTGTCTCTGTGGGGGACTTTTTGATGGAACTAACCCACATTTGCGTTACATGGAGAGGAAAACCACTAGAACCTCCCACGGTTAGCCTGACAGCAAGGGAACTCTCACCCACAATCTGTCTACCACTGAGGATATTTTAGGCCAGCACTGTGGGCTGTACGAGCCAGATGCGAAATACGTATCGACCAGCCATCGCTGGGATTCGAGCGCGGTTCGCCTCATTGGAAGGCAAGTGCTCTATCCCCTGAGCCATCACGACCGAATGGCTAGATTGACATCTTAGAAGGATGGAGCGTTACAGCAGGTGCCCTTTTCATTGCCAATTACGTTAGTGCTGTGACCATCTTGTGCTGCTTTCACGAGTTTCGCAAAGATGTTAAAACATGTTGTAAAAGAGGAGTATCCTTTTACACTTTTATTTTTTTTCCCTCAGAAGTTTTTTTTCTCAGATGACGTCATTCTTATAGCCATTGCGAATGACGTCATATCGCGATGCAGATGTTGTGACACCTACACCAGGTATTTAGTTTACATAGTTTAGTTGTGTATTACAACTGACACATGTTTTTTTTTTATCTCATACCGGTCAGTTTAAATGTTGACAGGGTGGTTGTAGGGGGTTAGCCATTTTCGAACTGAGGTAATATATCTTATAGTTTTTGGGAATGTTTTTCTAGGATATAATTTATGTTTATTTTTCTACTCAATAAAAGATTTCATTATTTTTATTGGGACTTTGTTGGAATAAAATTCAAGTTATAGATTGTTTTTATTGACCCTGCAGCAAATCTACTGTCGGGCCAGGCATTCTGCTTTGTATTAGCGATATCTTCCGGCTGGTTCAATTTACTCGACCGGCCAACAAAACAGTCTAAATTACTTTTCAAACTCCTTCTTTCTTTTATATGATTTTATTTTACTCTGTTCTTATTCCTCAGTGCATTTCAATTTGTTATATTACATTTAACTTAAGCTTCTAAAATACGTTATTTTTTAAATGATGAATATTTAATGTTTCAGAGCAAGACTTTACAACACGGAAGCAGTGGTCAGTGTCTAGAGATGAGTGAAGACAAGCAGTCTGTCCAAATGCAAGAATGTTCTGACGAATCGAGGCAAAAATGGCAATTTCAGAACTATGATCCAACAAAGCTATCAAAAAGACCCTTATAAAGAAGTGCCTTCATTTTAGTGTGCAGCAGAGAGATTGCCAAGTTGTTTTTGGTTCAGTTCCTGTCCAGTGATGGTTTCCGTTTTCCTGCGATTCTTCCGTTTTTTTATTTTATTTTTTATAATAAGAATCTGCTCATCCGTAATGGAACGGTTCCTCCACGAACTGTTCCATTCTTCCTCTTTTCGATGAAACTTGGTGATGGTACTATTTTAGAGCCCCCTCTCTAAATGAGTCTTTCTTGTTTTGATTGAAGACTGTTTATGTTAAGAAAAAGTATTTTGACGTTGCTATGTATCCACTGTTAAAAATGTTTAATATTGAGGTGATTTTGTGCAAAAGTTTATTTTGGAATTTTTTTTCCTTCTAAACATTAGGTATTGTTAATAAATATCGGGAAAGAGGTTATTTCATGCAATTTTTTTATTGAAATTCAAAAGCATTACCTACGACTGTTTATGCATTTTTCCTATGCTTGTTAAAAAAAACCATTTGCTGTTTGTTGTTTAGACCTGTTGCGTACACACACACCTTGACTTTTCCTTTTGAAATGAGTGAATCGACTGTGCTTTTTAGAGCTGATTGAAGATTGGGATGTTATAGGGGAACAAATCTGGACTGTAATGTGGGTGGCTTAGAACTTCCCATTTGAATTTATGCATAAGTTATTTACTTCCTTTAATGTCTAAGGTCTAGAGTTGTCTTGCAACACAGTTACTCTCAGATAAAGTTCACTTGGTTTTTTAGGTTTCATTGAATTTTGTTAATATTTCCAAATTTTCTTGAGAATTCCATAGCTGTTGACAAGAGTTGGACCCTTCTTTAGGTTTTGCAGTCAGAAATAAATTGACAGCTGTTCAATGATCACCTTTTTATCATCGCTTGCATGATAACTATTGCCATCCAGTGAGAGAAAAGTGCACTTATCCTCCTAGTCACTCTATCAACTGCATTTCAGGCTCATCTCCATTTTTCTAAATAGCTTTTAGTTTTGGCTTAGTGGCAACTTGGATCTGCTTTGAAAAGTGTTATTTTTGTTGTGCCTTTATAATTTCGGGCTACTTTTTATAATGCTAATTAATCAATGCTTTTAATTTTCGGTTTAGTTAAAAAAAATTCGAATAGTTGGATCGATTATTTTATTGATCTTACAATAATTTCGACATCAAAAAGCAATTTTTTTTAAGCATTGTATTGGTTTTGAAGTTGTTTTAATTGCACTATTGAAAAGATATCCATTTTATAAAAATTAAATTAAAAATAAAGTAAATATATGCAAATGAAAAATGTGCATGAAACATGCTACATTTGCATTATTAAACTCTTTCAAAAGGCAATCCCAAATTTTGAGAAAAAGCTGAGAAATTTAAAAAAATTTCAAAAATTTTGTTCAGAATCACCTCAAAACTGATCATTTTGAAATTCAAAAAAATTTTGTAAAAAAACGATTGACTTATAAAATTTATAGTTTTAATTTATTTTGCTTCTAATTTCTCTGTGATAAAAAAGCATTAACTATAATAATTATACTTCAAGCATGCTTCAATTACAAACTCTTTCAATATATATATATTTAGAATTTTGTTTTCAAAATGAAATAATTTGATATTTTTATTAAGTTTTATTTATTCACATTAAGTCAGTGAAATATCCATAAAACCTCTAATAATGTGGTTGAAATTAAAATTATTAATTCATAAATATCTTAATTTTAACCACAATCTCTGCCATTAAATAACAAACATTATTTAACATAAATTTTAAATTTAAGTTACTAAGTCTTTGCATGTGTATTGTTTTTCTTTCTTTTTTTGGTGCAAGAAGTGCATTTAAAAAAAAAATCTGATTCCTTAATTCAATAAAAAATATTTTATCTGTCTTTAAAATGTTTAAATCAAATTTTATATGTATTTGTAAGAAAAAAAGAAACACTGAAAATTGTAATTGAAAATTCTTCAAAGTTATACATATCTTATTTATTTGAAAACACATTCCATTTGAGTATAGTGTTTTGTTTCTTGTGTTATTTAAATTTTAATGATTTATGTGATGTTCTGTTTATCATTCCCAGTTTCAAACATAAATATTTAGTAATTCTAGTTGACGATACTAACTTCATCTTGATTTTTTTTTTCTTTTATGTTGTACTTGTTTTTTTGTTTTGTTTTTTTTTAAAAATTAGATACAGTCACAGTTGGAACTCAACCACTTGATAATATCTCTAACTCTAGGAACTGAGTCAGAGTTGGAACTCTAACCACTCTATCTCTAACTCTAGGAATTCTAGACTGGAATCAAAGTTGAGTCTGAATTGTTGGCCACAGCTCTGTTATTTTGTAAATGCTTTAGAAAAATGTAAAATCACATTCTTATCTTGCCTCATGTATTCCATTGGATAAGCAAAATTGAAGTAATATTTAGATTAACAGTCAGTACCGTCAATTAGGTTTAAAATTAAAGTTTTTTTTTTATCGCTTTGTCACAACAATTGTGGATATTTTTTTATACATTTTTTAATGTGATGACTGGATACAGCTACTGTTGTGACAATCGAATTCTAATTGTAAGTGCCATTACTTAACTTCCTACAGGGTCACGTGGGTGACAATATTTTGTATAAATGTTCAATTTTATATACAATAAAATTAGAAAAAACTTTTGTTTCTTATTTTCACTCAATGTATGTAATTATCTTCTTCAGTGGCCCTCTCCAGAAGTCTATTCCACATGCCTCTCCCTTTGGTGACTGTCTCCCAATTTTTGGATTTGCAGAATGTCTTTTTCGAGATCCGTATTATCCTTTAGCTTTTCAAGTATCTACCACATCAGACTCTATAAAAGATATCATATGACAGCGATAGCCTGGTTGGCAGGTCGCTGAACTGACGTTCGTGTGAACGGGAGTTCACACGAACGTCAGAATCCAGCCGGCTGAAGACTTTTCTCGAGTAAATGGTGAGCAGCACCTGTTAAATCTGTCTGGTCACAAAGTCCTTCATGTTCCCATGTGGGGACACTGGATTGGAGATGGATCGTTCTCTGGTTCAGGTCAAAATTGCGATGTGTGGATGAATGAATGAGTCCACTCTATCAACGGGTGTTGCAGAAGTCGAATTCTTAGCCATAGATGGCGCCACTGAAAAACAACAATAAAAGATTTAATATAATTCTAAATTTGTTCACCTTCATCATAACCTTTTCACCTGAGATCCACCACGAATATTTCTTAGAACTTAAATAATATTTTTTAGGACTTCTTTTAATAAATTTCTTCTTTAATAATTTTTTTAGGACTTCTGTTAAATTGCCAACGCCTCCTCATCTCTTGAGCCTATTTCTCACAGATGCTTATAATGAATCAGATATCTTATAAGTGTTTTATATAAAAAAAAAAATTTGTTTTCAATTTTAGAAACTTAGACTTAAATTCTTTAAGACTGTAAAACCATAGAAAATGTTTAAATGGATACATAATAGCAAATGAATGCACAGATATTTCGAGCAGTTGTTTTTGCAATCGTTATGTAAAAACATTCAAAAATAAATAGTAAATTTTTTTCAACTATTTCAACAATACTTCTAGTTTTTGAAGATTAATTATTGATTGTCAAATGTTCATAAAAAGCAACTAAAAAATTATTGTTATTCTTTTTAAAAAGAGGAGTTTAGCAATGACTGATACCGCCCATCCGTGGTCCTTTCGCAGACTCAAAAAGGTCACCCATTCACTCACGGATGGCTGCCGACTTCGATGATCAATTCTGAGGATCAATCCACTGTTGGAAGTTTTTTAAATTTAAATTATTTCTCAGGATCCTTTACTAAAAATAAGAATTTTTACTCATGAAAAGTGACAAACAGAAAATTTACGCGAAGAGAGTTTTGGTAAAATTTCTGACAATGTTAAAATTGGTACTTCTTGTTAAATTCATATCAGAAAACTTTAAAAAAAAGCTGTACCTAACGTGTCGTTTAGTGATATATTAAAAATGGAACAAACTGGACACTCGCTGGAAATTTAAGAGTGGAAAGTTCGGTTAATAAAGCTTTGTTATTTTGAACCCAATCCAGAAGACAAGGGAACTCTTGGATCAAGTATTGGGAAAAATTTGCTTTCGTTTAGGAGTTTTTGATGGAACTTACCCTCATTTACGTTATATGGAGTAGAAAACTTTCCATTGTTAGCCCGACGGCAAGGGGGACTCTATCCCGTCTACCACTGAGGATATTTTACGTCAGCACTGTGGTCGGTGCTAGCCGGATGCGGAATTCGTATTGACCAACCATCGCTTGGATTTGGACCCGGTTCATCTCATCTAACCCCTGAAAGGTATATTAAAAAAGCGAATATTAAAAAGTATTCACAAAAAAACTTGCTTAAATAACATTAGTAAAAAACTGCCTAAATATGTCAACCCAAAGCGTAACAAATAGTATAGATTTAGAAAATATACTAGATGAGGATCTGAAGGTTTATATTTTCGGTATAACTCCTGAGGAAACAAAAGATTATAAAATAGCTTTGTTTTGAATCCTACTAAAAAAATTTAAATATAAGAAAGGTGCTAACTCAAATGAAAATATAAGCACCAAAAATAAATAGTATTTCTGTGGTATTTGTTGNAATGAATCAGATATCTTATAAGTGTTTTATATAAAAGAAATTTAGTTTTTAATTTTAGAAACTTAGAATTAAATTCTTTAAGACTGTAAAACCATAGAAAATGTTTAAATGGATACATAATAGCAAATGAATGCACAGATATTTCGAGCAGTTGTTTTTACAATCATTATGTAAAAACATTCAAAAATAAATAGTAAATTTTTTTCAAAAATTTGAACAGTACTTCTAGTTTTTGAAGATTAATTATTGATTGTCAAATATTCATAAAAAGCAATTAAAAAATTATTGTTATTCTTTTTAAAAAGAGGAGTTCAGCGAGGACCGATACCGACATCCGTGGTTCTTTCGCAGACTCAAAAAGATCATCCATTCGCTCACAGATGGCTGCCAGTGATGCTCGACTTCGATGATCAATCCACTGTAGGAAGTTTTTTAAATTAAAAGTATTTCTCAGAATTCTTTACTAAAAATAAGAATTTTTACTCCTGAGCAGTGACAAACACAGAAAATTTACGAGAAGAGAGTTTTGGTAAAATTTCTGACAATGTTAAAATTGGTACTTCTCGTGAAATTCATATCGGAAAACTAAAAAAAACTGTACCTAACGTGTCGTTTAGTGATATATAAAAAATGGAACAAACTGGACACTCGCTGGAAATTTACGAGTGGAAAGTTCGGTTAATATTTCTGATAAAACTTGTGTGGAAATGAAGTTAATATTGACTAATAAAAATGTCGTAAAGAGAATTTTCAAATGAAAAAATAAATGCTAAGAATTCGCAGCCTAAAATCGTAAATAAAAAGTCAAATGTTAGGAAAACAACAATAAATGTGGGAAATATACAAAAATGTCACAAACAATTCTCAAGTGAAAAGTTTGAAGAAAATTACAGAAGAGTTGATATTTTCGGCAAGATTTCTGGAAACATTTCAGGGTTGAATTAGAAAGCTGAAGCTATTGCCGAAAGAAAATTTGAAATTTCTTAACCGTCGTTGAAAAGTCGGTCCAATTTTAAGTTTACGACTACAAATGTTCAAGTCCGTTGCCTCGTTATTTTGAACCCAATCCAGAAGACAAGGGAACTCTTGGATCAAGTATTGGGAGAAATTTGCCTTCGTTTAGGAGTTTTTGATGGAACTGATCCTCATTTGCGTTATATGGAGAAGAAAACCTTCTATTGTTAGCCCGACGGCAAGGGGGACTCTATCCCGTCTACCACTGAGGATATTTTACGTCAGCACTGTGGTCGGTGCAAGCCGGATGCGGAATTCGTATCGACCAACCATCGCTGGGATTTGGACCCGATTCACCTCATCTAACCCCTGAAAGGTATATGAAAAAAGCGAATATTAAAAAGTATTCACAAAAAAACTTGTTTAAATAACATTAATAAAAAACTGCCTAATATGTCAACCCAAAGCGTAATAAATAGTATAGATTTAGAAAATATACTATATGAGGATCTGAAGGTTTATATTTTCGGTGTAACTCCTGAGGAAACAAAAGATTATAAAATAGCTTTGTTTTGAATCCTACTAAAAAAATTAAAATAAAAGAAAGGTGCTAACTCAAATGAAAATATAAGCACCAAAAATAAATAGTATTTCTGTGGTATTTGTTGTTGTTCATTTACGTCGCACTAAAGCTGCACAATGAGCTATTGGCGACGGTCTGGGAAGCATCCCTGAGGATGATCCGAAGAAATGCCATCACAATTTTGATCCTCTGCGGAGGGGATGGCTCCCCCGCTTCGGTAGCCCGACGACCTACGCGCGAAGTCGAGCACTTTACGGTAGAACAGTTTAACGAGGACCCATACCGCACACCCTCGGTCCCTACGCAGGCTGATCCAAGTGGTCACCCACCCGCTTACTGACCGCAGCCAGTGATGCTTGACTTCGGTGATCTGCTGGGAAGCGTGTCTTAACGATCAGTCCACTGCGGGACTGTGGTATTTGTAAAAAAAGTTTAATCTCATATCAAATGATTAAAACCGAGAATTCCTTCATCTTATGACATAAGGCTAGAAAATGATCTGTTGCAAAATACATCAATTCCTAGAAAAAAAGAAAAATTTATAATTTTTTTTAAAAAACATTCTGTATAGTTAATAAGACACTTAAAGTCTACTCATCTTATGGTCAAAAGTCTTATCTTTGTGATGTATGTGACAATGAATTTATGCCTGTTATTGCTCCACGTAGGAAATATCATTTTATGTCAACAGGTGGCGCTGAAGAAGAGATAAAACTCGTAAGCATTATGTTTGTACAATATGTTGAACTCTAATAAGGTCTCTTTGGATATTCACTACCGTGTACATATTGAAATTAAGCCATACTAATGCAATGTTTTTTTTGCTGTTGTCGTAAGCCATTACGGCAGACGGTGTGCGATTGTTCTTTTTACTAGTGACGCCATCTATGGCCAAGAATTCGACACTTCTGCCACACCCATCCGTGAGACACTCGTTTATAGGGTGGACCCAGTCATACACCCATTTATCCATTCACTGATCTTAATTTTGACCTGAACCAGAGAACAATCATTTTCTGATCCAGTACCCTCAGAGGTATAATTTGTTATAGAAACATAGAGGACTTTGTGACCCAAAAGATTTAACGTGCACCACACGGGGAGTCATCGGCCGGATTCATTCGAACTCCCCTCTTCACCGTCGTGAGTCCAGCGTCCTGCCAAATCAGGCTACCCCTGCCAATTTATGCAATACAAAATTTATGTGTGCCAGAGATTTTAAACGCCATCCCTGTACAATGCACCCCATTAAAAAAGTATTCTTGTAACTTATGTCCAAAAAGATTTGAAAGTCGAGATTATTTTGAAGATCATCACAACGGTTTGAAACCCTTATGAGTGTGAACATTATGATAAAAAAATACATTAAAAACATAATTTGAACTTCCATCGTGGAACTCTGCTCTTCTTTCTTGTTTGTAAATACTGTTGTTCAAAAGTTTGAAAGCGCATGTTAATCGCTATTTGAATATAAAACCTTATAAATGTGAGGTTTGTC